CTCGCCTCTCCGACAAGGTCTTCTGCTACAACCCCCTCACTGACACCTGGAGCCAGGAGCTGCCTCTGGCTCAGCCCCGCTCACAGCTCAAGCTGCTGGCCCTGGACGGTTACCTCTATGCCGTGGGGGGCGAGTGCCTCTTCACCGTGGAGAGGTATGACCCGCGGGCTGACCGCTGGAGCCCCGTGGCACCCCTGCCCAAGGGTGCCTTTGCTGTGGCTCATGAGGCCACCACCTGCAACGGGGAGATCTATGTGTCGGGGGGCTCCCTCTTCTACCGCCTGCTCAAGTATGACCCCACGCGCGCCTAGTGGCAGGAGTGCCCTTACAACACCAGCCGCCGGCGCTCTGCTGACATGGTGGCCTTCAAGAGCTTCATCTACCGCTTCGATGTGAGCAGTGGCCGTGGTGGGGAGCAGGGCCCTGGTGGTGGGACTGGCGGTGGTGTCGAAGTTTTCCGGTACAACACGGTGGCCAAGCGCTGGAGCCAGTGCGCCAGCCTGCGGCCCAGCGGCGGCCCCATCCAGCCCTTCCGCTGCGCCCCCTTGGGCAACACCATCTACTGTGTCAACCGGACCGGCACCCTCCGCTTCAGCCTAGCCCAAGATGGCGAGGTGGAAGCAGATGGCGGGCTCAAGGGCACCTTTGATGGGGAGCTTCTTAAAGCTCCCTTAGATGCCAAGGGTGTGCTCCTACCCTTCGTGCTCACCCTGCCTGAGAGGCTGGACAAAGCGGGGGACCAGGAGGGCTCCCTCCCCCTGTGAGGTGGCCAGCCTGGCTCTGGCTTCCCAAGTGGGGAGCTGGATTGCACCTGTGGGGGACCCACAGACTACCCCCTACAGAGGGGAGCCTCTGACAGGTCTGCAGAGAGAAGGGGCTCCCCCTTTTCTCCTCTCTGCTTCCAAGACATTGAGCTGGAGCCACTTCGTTGTAACTGGGTTGTAACCCTTCTCGTGTTTGCTGTGCTTTGTGTGAAAAGCCAAGCACATGAAAGGAAAAGCTGCTATAAAGGATAATCTCTGGATTATGTTTGTGCCAATTCCTAACCTGAGAAAAAGTTTTTTACACCTGAATTTTAAAAAATTCCTGTTAACAGTGTCGTAATGGGACGTTACTGTTAAGTGCTGGTCGTGTGTTTGCACATAGTCACAATCTGGGCTGGAGCCTTTTCTGTCATTTGTTTTCTTTCTCTCCGGGATGATACCGAGGGAGAAACACTGCTGGCAACGTAGCTTAGCTGCATTTGTTTTTATGTTAAACCAGCTATTTCCTGTGTTAGAAAAGTATAGGAAGAACATCTCCATCACAGCCTTTCATTTCTGGTGCAATAGATGGTTTAAGGAAGACATGGCACTGTGTGGTCCCAGGAATTTCAACTACAATGAATGATTTAACAGATACCAGACTTAAAGTTTTAAGCAACACAAATGTGCGCCACATGTTTGTATTTGGAATACAAAAAAAAAAAAAAAAGAAAAGGCAAGTTACCTTTTTAAAATGTGGCACATTACAGCATATATGGAATGTTATGTTCTTTATCTCAAAAAGGCAGTGGTTTCTGTATAACAAGACATTGGTTTAATACCTTTTTTATCAGAGATTTTAAATTATAACAAAAATGAACTGAAGCTGTTCAAACTGCAACCAATTGACATGACCATGTATGCCACTAGAGTTGGGGGAAATATCTTGTACTTCAGCTGCTCTTTAATTAACTGCCGGTCAAGGAAAATTAACGTAAACCAAATGTAAATCCTTTGAAACTGACTGCAGACAGCTTCGATGTTTCACTGTATGGTTGGTATCCTGTGGCAAGAGGCTTTTCCAACTTAGTGCAAGACCATCAAAGGAGGATGTGGAAAATAGGAATGCGCTACATATGTTGATTGTATTGTGCACTAGCATGATATTATTTCCCTGTCTTTTGATTGAGAGACTGCTTTATTTATTTTGATCTAACAACTGTTGTAATCAATAAGTCCTTGTTAATTGCAGTATGTGGTGATGGCATGTGCTGTCATTGGGATTCTCAGCCTCCTGAGATCACTGTTTGTGGAGCAGCATCCTAACGAGACAAAACCCGACAATGCATTTTCCTGCCTATGGAAAGTTTAAGCATACTTTTTGTCATGTTACTCAGAACTGGAAAGGTGTAAACTATCTACGCAGACAGACTGTATTGAAAAGGGCACACGCGTTTATTTTATACATTTTATATAAAAAAAAATAAATAGGCAAGGCAAATGTTTTAGCTTTATAGTAAATCACTGAGAAACCTTTTCTGAAAAAAGAACCATGTTTTTGCTATTGTAATTCAGCCTGGAACTGGCATGGACTGTGTAAGGGATTTGTTTATACTCAAAGCTCTAGAATAGATTGATATTTTAGAAAGACATAGGGACCTTACATCAAAGAAAGCAGATCTTTTTATGTTTTATTAAGATGTTTCTGTTAAACAGGACATTAGCATTCTTATACTATTGCTAGTTCCAAAGCAAGGCAGCAGGCTCTGTCCTAAGAGACACCATCTTCACAAAAGAGAATAGTGAAGTTTATAGATACTTCTTTCCTTCACTTTCATGGTGTTGGTTTTTTTTTTTTTTTTCATTTTCTCCATCTGTCTTGCACAGGGTTTTAATGCAGCTGATCTGGTTAGCCATCCTGTAGAAAACACTGGTCCAGTCCTAAAAGTTCTTAGCCAAGCAAGCCTATTCCCTAGTGACCTAATTAAAGCATCAGCCAGGTAGGAGCTGTAGGCCTGCAGAGTGTGATGCTTATCTTAGCCTCAGTACAGGTTAGTGCAGTGGAATTTAATACCACAGATTAGTGGTATAGTGATTCACAAAGAAATTGATTTTTTTTTTTTTTTTCAGTGAATGATGGACTTAATTCTCAGACAAGAATCCTTAGAAATGTTGACTCTAAATTAAATTACAGCATTGTAGCTTGAGGAGGAAATAAAAATTATGTGTTTGCCTTCAGCATAATTTTTATGTTAACTGTAGAAAGTATTTCAAGCTGTGTAGTGAAACACTTAGGTGCGTACTTAAACTGAAGACATCAGCACTAGGCCAGATTTTGAATTAGTAGAGTCACCAGGAACACACAAGGAAATGTCTGTTTTATCTTGCAATACAGTATGATTTCCTAGTTCAAAATATTATGTAGTATAGTTCTTACACTACAGCATAGTGAGGAATCAAGCCAGCTTTTGCATTCCTGTTAATTA